CTGCTCCCTCGTGGTGTGAGGGCGGTGATGTTTTTCCTCCCACCCACTTTTGAGTCCCCCCTCCTCCCTCGCGCACTCTAGCTCTCGCCACAACCTGCGAGCCCCAGACCTCGGAGGAGCGCCCCGGGGAGCTCCGAGCGCTTGCACGCGTGGAAGACGGAGAAGGCCAGTGGCCAGGTCAGTGAGCAGTGCCCGGCGCCCGCTTCCCCTCCCTCCCTTTCCAGCCGTTGCACAGGTGGGCTATCTCCCCCCAGGGCGACCCGGACTCCCCACTCTGCCACCCCAACCCGCTCTACCGTCCGGGGCGCCGGACCCCCAGGCAGGTCGGGGTTGGGGGAGGGCTTGGATTCGAACTCACCACTCGCCACTCCCGCTCGGCCTGCATATCTCCAGTCTCTGAAGCTGCTGGGAGGCCACTTGGGTAACTACCTAACGGGTTCTGCAGTCGCCTTAGTAATCGTGTGTCCTGAGCCCTTTTCCTCGCTTGCTGAAGTGCCCTGGACCAGTGGGTGGTTCGTAAGTGCAAAAGTTAACGAAACAGGGCGGACAAGCGAGAGGCTCCTCTCTCCGCTGGACATGTCTCATTTTCCGGTCAGGACCACTGGGGTCAGAGTTGGAGACGCTAGGCTTAGGGAGTAACGCAGTATCGCCAGAACTTAGGGCCTGAAAAGCCTGCCTTCTAGTTTCTGCCGGCCCTGCCACGAACACTATGAGAATGGGCAGTTGAGTTGTCTGGGCTCCAGGGTGCCCGTTTTGAAGGTAGTAGAGTTGTTGTGGGCAATAAAATGAAATGATAGAAAGCAAGGTGTTTTGCAAGCCGAAGTCAAGGCATTGTTTGTCAGTCATAGCAGCAATGACGGCATCTCGACTCTGACCAAAGACACCCAGGGCTGAAGCTGCTATTTTTCAGTAGCAACCTACCACGGGTGAACTGAACTTTTCTTGCTGGGTGGTAGACTGGGGAGAGGATTTTAGCTGATGGACAGGGGCCTGAGACTCCAGTGTCTTCTTCTTGTTTGTCAGAAAGAGAATTGCTACCCTGGGGGCTGTCCCACAGATGATAGTGAATGTGAGATTACAAGGGCAGTGAAGCCTCTTGGGAGGATTAAAGAGATACTGTGGGGCGTGAAGAGCTAGCTGACATGGGCTCACCCCTTAGCCTTCCTTTGGGAATGCCTCTGATTCTGTTCTACCGAGATGTCTTCTGAGAATAGGCAGACGCCTGACACTTGATGGCCCAGATCGCTTTGTAGTTACAGTTGGGCAAGGAGCCCTTGGTCCCTTTGCTTGATGCAAATGAACTCTGAGAAGGTGAAGGCTTGTTTCACTGGGGCAGCTTAATCAATACATGTCTTTCAGTTCTGACATGTTTCTTGTGCTCTTGGAAAGCCCACCTGCTCTCCCCAGCTCCTCAGTGTTAGTCTGGGATTTTGTTTTCTTTGTTGTTTTCTTGTTGGGGCCTGGATTCCCCCTCCCCAAATATGTCAATGGCTACATTTCTAAGTAACCTGTGAAAGAGCCAGTGCAAGTTCAATGGCCCAGCAGCCTCTGTGAAGCAGACAGAGAGTTAATGCTGAAATAACTCCAGTTAACTGGGTCAAAGTATAATTTGAAAAATTAAGGACAGTTTGGCTCTTTGCAAGTGTAAGAGTAGGCATGTTTGCTGAGCAATGCTTGCTTGTGTTTATTGCTGCAGCCCCAACAAATGTCTTGAATCAACCCCCTTCCCCAAAAGAAAAAGTTAAAAGGATAAAATGAAATTGAACAGAGACGTGTGGAGGGAACTCTCCTAGGGTTATATTTCTGCTCAGAATACAAAGGCAGGACTTCAGAATCTTGTAAATCAAAAGTGATTATTTATAAAGCGATTCACTTTCTGATGGTCTCCATCACAGCCTGGGAGGCCACACAGATGACAGGAACGCCGAAAGAGATTAATTACTCTCTAGTCACCAACTTTTCTATTTGCTCATACCATTAACTGAGACCTAAGAAAAGCAGTAAAATTCTCAGAGCCGTTTTCTTGCCAGCTTGAGTTATGAAGCAATGCTACTGTTCACCGAATCACCCAACCATTGTACAAGAAAAACAACCCAGTTGGTTCTTGCTTGGGGAGACCCAAAAACTGTGGTTTCAAAAATATCCCCTGAGATCCAGATGTGATTGTGATCAATTGGATTTTGGTGGTAAAAACAAAAACAAACAAAACAAAACAAAAACAAAAAAACACCTTTCCCATTTGGAGACTTGGGGGATCAGCTTATTAAAGTAGGCTCAGGAAGAAGCTCACTGGGATGGGTAACTGTGTTAAACTGTCCATGGAAATGATTTGCTTCAAGGGAACTTGGTAGCTCTCAGAGGATAGAGATAGGCATTCTGAGTGATTGAAGGTGGACCAGAAGCTCATAGAGGGGACCAGCACATCAGGAGCCAGGCCTTTGGAAGGCTACGAACATGTCCTAGGAGAATTCAGTCCTTGTTTAAGAAGCAAGGAGGAAGTAGAGAATGCAGACCAGTGCTGCAAATCCCGGTTGATAGAATAAGTTATTCTCTATGATCAGTTTTTTTTGTTACATACTCATAATTTGAAACAATGGATTTTAAATTATCTGGCCAATTTCATAGCATTTAAAGTAAGAGCTATGGCATCCACAGCGTGGCCCAAAGACAATTCAGTTCTCCGGAACGATCATCTTGCATTCCATCCAGCTCTTTATACTCAATATTTAGGTTGGACCCTCTGAAGAGATCGTTGAGCTCAGTTCCCATCCAAGGTTAACCCCAGTTTGAAATGTGGTGTTTCTCGAATTATTTAAATATTTTCAAATCACCCATTTGAAGAGTTTTGCCAACTCTAAAGTCTATAGAGATGACCTATGACTGGGTATGAGCTATAGCAAACCTTCTGTGTTCTAAGACTCGAAAGGTTTAAGATTTCCACCCCTTAGACTGGAAATACAGGTCTCATATTTTTAAGAGCTGTAGTTCCTTTTTTTTTTGATGGCCTTTTGCATGGTAATGTAGTACGAACACATTACCTATTTAAATTTGCCTGATATTCCTTAAAAACGGCCCGTTTTAAATTGCTATTTCACAAGGGACTTCATGTGACAGGAATATGTCTGAACCATTCGGTGTTTAAATTGCATCCATTTGCTAAGTACGTCTATCTGTTCCAACATAGGTAGGCAAGCTGCAAATCCTTATAGATCTCATAGCAGACACAGGAGAAACATTGACCAATTTGTGCCTCATCCCTGAAGGATTAATAATAATGGTAGTCTTAAAGCTCCAATCCATTAACTTTCATTTCAGAAATTGTTTGAGTCACTGCCCATTATTTTTATCTTGTTTGCCAAAGTAGCCATTTTGCAAGCCCCAGTTTCCCTGTTCTCCCAAAGAAAACCTCTTGAGAAATCAACTTTTAATTCCCTTAGAAATGAGGGTTTCAAAATTTCTTTTTATTTTCCTATCACTTGCCCGTAAGGATTTAGCCTTAGCGTTGGATAGGAATATATGTTCATCTGCTTGAATTTCCCCCTACGATCTTTGCAGGACAGGAGAGGCAAGTTCTCTTTCTTGGGGTGGGGGGGCGAGGGGGGAGGAACAATGCTTGCACCTATGTAAATTCGCCAGTGTTCTCCTCCCACCCCCACTGCCCTCCAAGCAAGTTAGAAGCCTAAGCATCAGAGATCTCCACTGGTTCCAGAGAATCTGCTCTAAGTCTTTGTTTGTTTGTTTGTTTGTTTTCTTCCCAACAGCTTGAGTACACCAGGCCCTGAAAGTTTCAAGTTGCCTTTTGTAGTGGCCAAAATGAGAAAAAAGTGGAAAATGGGAAGCATGAGATACATCTTTTCCTTGTTGCTGTTCTTTCTTTTCCTAGAAGGAAGCAAAACAGAGCAAGTAAAACGTAAGTGTCTTGAGTTTAAAAAAACAAGTTACTTTCTTGTAATTTTGAAAATGTGGTTATACTCTATAGGGATTGTGATTTAGCCCAAATGTGGCCGTGCCATCATTCTAAGAGAAGAAAGTGAATGTTACTGGTTTATGCATGAGTTGATAAAAGAATGAGAGCTTTGAATCGGGCCAACTAAATTTGGGGCTGTTTTTCTGATTATCATATAGTTTTCATCTCACAGAACACATGACACATTAGCCTATTTGCCTTTTCCTGTTCTAAACTGTACAAATCTCATTCCATTTTACGTAATTCTAGAAATATCTGACAGATGAGCTGGATTTTTTCCCAAATTTCAGACTCTTCAGCAAAGATTTTCAGTTTATGAAAAAGAATAACACAGGAAAAAAAAAAGAGCGAGAGAGAGAAAGAAAAAGTAAAGCAGGCTCTGCCTTGTTCCCTTTTGCCGGAAAACGAAGAAGGAAAAAAACCTTCACATGAACTGGATTCGGATGAAAAATCCTTTGAGGAAATTGAGATTCCAGGGACCGTGAGTAAATTGGATGCCATTTATTGAAAGGAACGTCCTCACAAAGCCAGGGAATATTTCTAGAAAGTCAGCGATCCGTGTGATGGGCTAACACATTGGAGAAAGCAGAGCGGCAGGAAAGGGGATAATTAACCCTCCTTGCGGCCACATTTGGGAGATTTATGAGTAGCTGTTGACATCTCTGCTCTTGTTAGGAGCCTTCTGCTGCCTTCACCCAGTGTGAGCCTTACCTTCTTTGGGCCACTTGCAGCCACCTCTGAGGTGGACCCTTGCTCTAAATTTGAAGGAAAAGCCATAGTCTGGTTCCCCTTTCTGGCTGCATCAAAAGAAGCACAAAGTGGAACTGGTCCAAGAGGGGCATTCTCTGCTCCACTGAACTTATTCATGAGAAGGAACTGAAAATATGCTTGGTAGGAGCTGAAACAGCATCTGAAGCCCATCACTTAAATACTTATCTCCTTTATCAGCACAAGTTCAATATATGAGGCCTGAGGCTGGCTGACTGGGAGAGCAGTGCCAAACCTATTCCACTGATACATGTGTTTCTATCCCACTGTGATTTTCATAGTAAAGTTAGTCCTCTTCCTGGGAGAAACAGTGCTTTTGATTAGGCTTTTAAGCATGAGTGATCTGTGGTGATATCTAGTATGAGGGATACACAGAAGGAAGTTTGGCAGGGCACTGCCTCAGCAAGGAGTCTTGGATCAGCCTCTCCTCTTGTATTCCTCAACTGACCTCCTTCTCCTTCTACTCTGAATCCGTCTCAGAACCCTCTTCTTCCAGAAGTCCTCCTTGATTTAAGTGAATGTGATAGAAAAGTTGCTTATCCGTTGTCAGCTAAGCTCACAAGCAGTTGGACTTAAAAACCTTCCTCTCTTAGGAAGAAACTTCCCTTCGGGCTCTATGGCATCAGGGTGAAGCTTGCAACATTTAGAGGACCATCTCTTCTGGGAAGCCTTCCATATTCATGAAGAATTAAGGCATATTATCCATGCAACTTAGAGCTTAATTGACAAACCAAAGAAAAATATGATTTAAAAACGATCAACAGACCCCAAACTATCACTCTCTAACATTTCCTACTGCCTGTGAGTTTGTCCCAAGCCCTTTTGATATTCAAGTGGTGTCAAAATAATTATGTAACAGGTGGTCTAGGGAACCAGTTCTAGTCTAGTCTTTCAGGCTTATAGTCAGATAACGAGGCTAAGGTCATGGTCATTCCCTGAATGAGCCACTCGGCATCATTCTGTGTGACCACATCCACGCTAACTCTCTTGAAGACATGTGCAAAGTTATCTCTACTAAAAGGAAACTCTCAAAGCGAATGCCCTATATATGTTGCCTTGATACACACACACACACACGCACATACACACACACACAGCATGCACAAAGATTTACATTGCAGCTTTAACAGGGAGAAACTAGAAGCAGTGGAGAATGGTTACATAAATGATCCATGTAATGTACTATCATGCTACCATTCAAACACTGCTTATTGAATACTTGATAGCCCTGGAAAAGGCTTATATTAACTTATTTTGAAATTTCTTAAATTTTAAAATTAATAATACTCATTGTACAAAATGACATGAGAGTATCTGAGCTTTATAAAGAATGTATATTCTTCAACTTTCATCCCACTCCCTAGAGATGACCATGACTGATAGCTTGCTATGTATTCTTCCAAACTCTTTTCTCTGTATGTTATAAAAACATACATACATGTCTATAGGGTTTTTTTCTTTTACAAAAGATGGGGTTTTATATATATCTTTCCTGTAACTTGCTCTTATTCAGCAATGTATCCAGGACATTCTTCCATGTTAGAACATTTAAGTGTAACTGTACCATAGTCTTTCTAATGCCTACATAGTTTCCAGTTATACTAGTGTGACATGGTTTGTTTAACCAGTCCCTATTTGTAGGTATTTAGGTTGTTTCCAGTTTTTGCTCTTACCATAAATAAGGCATTAATGAACACTTTAAGGCACTTAAGCAAGTGTTTGTGAGGAATTGTTAGGTCAAAGTGCATGTTCAGCTTTAATCTTGGTAAGAACTGTCAAATTGTCCTTCAGAAAAAGTCATATCATTGTGTCAGTTTCTGGTGTACAGCATAATGTTTCAGTCATACATATACATACATATATTCCTTTTCATACCATTTCTAATTCCTTCACCAAAAGTATTATTACTCTTGGTATTTTAGGGCTAATTTAACCAGGGAAATTGTATTTCAATTTTGCTGTGATAGTTTCCTATTACTGGAGGATCTTTGCAATTATTTTTTAATTCAATTGTATTTCTTCAGTGAATTGGCTATTTTTCAGTTGGGTTGTTTGTCCTATTGATTTGCAGAGACTTATTTATTAACATTCTGTTATTTCAAATGTTGTTATTAACCTTTCATATTTCATGTATTATTTACCCAGTCTTCCCTTTGATTTAAGCTTTGTGTAAGTTGTGTTGTCCCGTACAGAAGTTTTACATTTTTGTGTAGTCAGATCTGCCATTCATTTCCTTTGTGGCTTGTAGACTTCTTATTCCTAGGAATGTCTTTCCCACTCCATACTCTTGTATTTTCTTCGACTACTTCTATAATTTGGTGTTTTACCCATAGTTCTCTATTCCATCTGAAATTTATGTTCACATGTGTTGTGCAATAAGGAACTACTTCTTATCTCTGGGTAGTAGATTCATGACTGTTATTTTTGTTTGTTTTTGTGCTTCTTTTATTTATTCCAAAGTTTTCACAATTGGCAAGTATTATTTTTACAACAGGGGAAAAGTCCTTTAAAGTAAAAGAACATCTTGTTTCCCATATTTCTGTTGTCAAGTTCTAGAGAAGGGTAGGTTTGGGAGTGGAAGAAGGAAAAAGAGGGGTTTTTTAACTTAAAAAAAACTAGAGAAACTTGAGGGAACGTGTAAGTTTAAGGGTAATAAGGCTTCACATCTCTCCTTGCTGCCTGATGCCATCTTACCTAAGGAAACCAAGGTTTTTGATCTTCCACAGGCTGGTTCGAATATGAGCTCCTAGATCAAGGTGGATGCTCTGTAGCCTGTCCCCTCTCCTATTTTAGGCATCAGGGTGGAATGGGGGGTGGTGCTGTTCTGGTCAAAGATGCACACTCAATTGGTGAAGAATCTGAAGAGGTCTGGAGAAAATGCTTTATTTGCAGAAAATTATTTTCACAAGGAAAGGTAGAAGTGCGTGCTACCACTTGCTAATTAGCCGGAGTTACGGTGCTCTCATGGGAGGGAAAACAGGCTCAGGAACCCAGGAAATACTGACGGTGCATTGCAGTAGATGAATGAGCCATTTGTGACTTATATGAAAGTTTGTTACTGTCCAGAAGCAGCAAGGTTTGAGGTCTTTAGCTGGGAAAAGTCTTTCTGTAACACCATTATGCTCTGTTGTTATAGTTGTAGTCAAAAGAGGCCAGGAAGTTCTTTTGAAGTTCAAGGGAGCATAACATTCAGTGCATAATATTCATGCAAATATAGGACAAACTGGGCTGAAGAGTTTGCCTCTTTTGGCAGATCTGACTTAGGTAATGAACTATTGATCAAAGTGAGGTGGAAGAATTGAGTTGTTAAGAATACTCAGTTATGTATTTCAAATGGACCAGCCTGTGCCAAGGCTGACAAAATCCTGGGGGGAGAAATAGTTCATGTATTTTATGGCGTCCATCCCTGCTTTGTACGGTGAGTTAGCTGGATCTTCCGAGGGACTAGATTCTCAATCATTTTTCTCCTCAGGAGAAAAGCTTCCAACATTTGTATTTGGCTGAAAATGGCCTCTGAACTTCCCAGGAAGAGTGAGTCCCCAAAAGATTGACGGGAAGGAGGAAGATACTTAGACAATTTGAGACATGGGAAGCACGGCCTTATGGAGCTTACCCAGAGCCTCTTTATTGTGAAAGCCAGCCAGAGAGGCTTGACTTTTCCTCCTCCAGATTCTCACTTGGACATTCGAAGTGATTATTTGACAAAAGAAAGAAACAAGCAAAAGAATAGACCTAGTCACTTCTTAGAAGTTGAAATAGGTGGGAAAGTAAATGAAGAATACTTTAAAATTAGATAGCTTAATGCTTTTCAAGGTATAGTATTAATTATTTTTTATGTTGAGGTGGAGGAATGGGGTTGGATATGGAGGTTCTAGAGTCCACGTAGATCAACCCCAGCTCCCTGACTTTTGTAACGTACCTTGGGAATGCTGCTTAACCTCTCCGACTTTAGTGTTCTTATCAGTATAGTTGGGAAAATAATAGTATATTGACCATCAGCATGGTTGGTTGAAGAATAAATGAGACTGTGCACACCAGGGGCTTTGCAACAGTGGCTGGCACACAGTTTTTAGTAAGTGGTAGCTACTAGAGTAACTCTATTGCAAGCCAAATGATATAATCCCCTTAATTTTTAGATGAGAAACTTGAAACTCAATGAGATCCAGAGACTTTGT